AAGGCGTGGCTGGAGGTCTGAGATCAAGGCGTGGCTGGAGGTCTGAGGTCAAGGAGTGGCTGCAGGTCTGAGGTCAAGGCGTGGCTGGAGGTCTGAGATCAAGGCGTGGCTGGAGGTCTGAGGTCAAGGAGTGGCTGCAGGTCTGAGGTCAAGGCGTGGCTGGAGGTCTGAGGTCAAGGCGTGGCTGCGCTGGTTCCTCCTGAGGCCTCTGTCCTTGACTTCTAGACCCCGTCTTCTTCCTATGTCCTCACATGGTCGTCCCTCTCTGTGTGTCTGTGTCCTGATCTCCTCTTATTTTAAGAACACCAGTCCTGTTGGATCAGTGCCCTCCCTAGTGGGCACCTCATTTACCTTAATCATTTCTTTATAGATCACATCTCCAAATATTATCACATTGGGGGTTAGGGTTTTAACACATACATTTTGGGGTGTGGGGGTGGCATAATTCAGTCCATAGCAATTACTCAATTATAGTAAGTTCCTGGCTGTGGGCACAAAAGAGGAATAAAAATGAAAGATGATCATCTTGGAGGAAGACAGATGCCCGGGACATATGAGCCCAAATAGGTCTGAGATCAAGGCGTGGCTGGAGGTCTGAGATCAAGGCGTGGCTGGAGGTCTGGGATCAAGGCGAAGCTGGAGGTCTGAGGTCAAGGCGTGGCTGGAGGTCGGAGGTCAAGGCGTGGCTGCAGGTCTGAGGTCAAGGCGTGGCTGCAGGTCTGAGGTCAAGGCATGGCTGGGCTGGTCTCTCCTGAGGCCTCTCTGCTTGGTTTATAGATGTCGTCTTCTCCCTGTGTCCTCACATGGTTGTCCCTCTGTGCCTGTCTATTTCCTAATCTCCTCTTCTAATGAAGGCACCAGTCCTTTTGGATTAGGTCCCACCCTAATAATGTCCTTTTACCTTAATCACCACTTTAAAGACCATATTTCCAAATACAGTCACGTTCTGAGGTCCTGCGGGTTAGAACTTCAACATAGGAATTTGGGGGACCACAATTCCATCCATAACAGGGCATTAACACCCAGTTTTCTCATTGAGGTAAGACTTATCTACATGGGAGTGTTTGGAATCTAAGGGTAGCCTTGGGTCCCCAGAAATAGCGGTGGGCATCTTTTTCACTCACAGGGTCCCCCTCCCGACATCCAGAGTGAGAGTCACCAGGACCAGCAGGGACTCCTGCTGGTGGGAACGGCCACCCCAGGGAGTGGATGAGGTGTTTCCCATTATCAGGCAGTACACTCTGTGCATCTGGTTTCCTCTACTTTCGTGAACAGACAGGAATGTTACCATAACTGCAGGGCAGAGAAGTCTCTTGGAGAATGACTGCCATCTCACTCAGAAATATTTCTGAAAGTTGCTGCAGAGTGCAGGGAGGTGCTGTGCACACTGGCGGGGTTGTGTAGCCGCGGCTGACCGTTGCGAGTGCATTCCACGTGGAAGGGCGCGACACCCTTCTTGAAGCAGCCGCTGACATCAAGATGGAATTACCCGGCCACCTATCGCTGTCCAGCAATTTCTCTAGTCTTTTCATAAGAACGGCACACGTGCCCGCCCTTCACTTGAGTGTCTTGTCAGTGTTGCTGGCATCAACGTTTCAGGAGGTCCAAGCATTTAATGTCTTCCTGGAAGATCGCTGCCTTCGGGGTTTTGCCTCACTCCATTTTGACATCTAATATTTTTTAAGTAGGAGAACACGAAGACGTGCCAGATTTCATGGCATGCGTATAAACGCTGCCTCTTTTAAAATCGCGCTTGTTACTAAAATGTTGCAAGATACTCTATGATATATGTTATTTTCAAAGTTATTGTTCAAGTCGAAGAGTAAGCTCAGGAAATTCAGAAGGGCCTCAGAAAAGCATGTTGAAGAGGTCACATTAATGACCATTTGAATGCGATATGCATGACTTGGTTGCTATGAAAGGCTTTCATTGGGAGTGCCATATGGCTGCGTTTTTAGAGACCCCTGCAGTCCCAGGCATGCAGTAGAGCAGGAGCGTGGTCTGTCTCACTGCAGAAGGACAGTATAACATGGATTATTGGGAGACTGGGGGACTCTGTTCCTGGTGTTGTATTTAAGGGCTGTTCTACAGCAGGACACAGCTGCTTGGGAGCATCTTCCAGATGAATGATGTCCTATAAGTTGTCCTCCATGGAAGGGGCATCTCAGATGACATAAGCTTGAAGGTGACCCCAGCAGTACCCTAGTTTGTCCTTTGTAGGATGGAGCATTTCTAAGGCAACATCTTTGGAATTGCCCAAGGGAGGTATATTGCTTTGCTAGGGCTGCCATAACAAAGTCCCACATCCTGGGCAGCTTAAATAACACACATTTATTCTCTCACAGCTCTGGAGGCTGGAAGTCTGAGATCAAGGCGTGGCACGATTGGTTCCTCCTGAGGCCTCTCTCCTTGACTCGTAGACACGTCTTCTCCCTGCGTCCTCACATGGTCGTCACTCTGTGCCTGTCTGTGTCCTAATCTCCTCTTCTTATAAGGACACCAGTTTTATTGGATTAGGCCCCACCCTAGTGACTTCATTTTACCTTAATCACCTATTTAAAGATCCTGTCTCCTAACGCAGTCATATTCTGGGGTTCTGGGGTTAGGACTTCAACACAGGAGTTTTGGGGGACACAGTTCAACCTGTAACGTACCCCACACCCTCCTTTGTAGGATGAAACATTTCTCAGCCAGTTCTTTGGTACTGTCAAGGCAGAGCTCCTGGGCAGGTGGGCCAGCTGGATAATCTTGATCACATGAAATGGAATGAATGAGTGTTCCCTGCATCTCTGGGCATGCCACCATCTGGGGGATCTTCCGTGAGAGCTGTGTTTGCGGCTAGTTTTTATCTAGTTTTTCTCTTCTTTGTGATACCACTTCTCACATCAGGCCAAAGCTCAGTAAATATACGGTGCAGGAGGTAATTGTAGAAAAAGCAGTGTCTTTCCACACTTAGGAGGAAGCTCCTGTGAGAGAAACAATCCTACTTGCTGTGAATTTCAAACCCCAAAG